CCCAGGTCTTGTCATTTCCATGTAGCTTTGTAGCTGCACTTATTTCAAGCGATGTTATATCAAAAGTTGTTGTTACGTAAACAAATTCCCATTCAGATTTAAGCGAATCAATATCGGACAATGAGGCGAAGAATTTCCTAAATAAGCTGTTCGAAGCCAGTTCTAAAGAGAACATCAATAAAATCTTTTCAGGTTAGTTTTCACTGAATGATTCGATCGAATGAAGAGCCCTATCTCAGTTAATAGTATTTCATATTGTTAAATTTGACGAACGCTACTATAGCCGTCACCCTGATGGTAGGTAACCAAGAATAACCGGTACTGATATGTGGTGCGCAAACCGGAAACTTTGACAAAACGTGTGGTTCAAATTGACCCATTACTAGTTTGACAATGCAAGTAGGTCCTCCCCGACTGGCTGATTTAATGGGAAGCATTGTACTCAGGTCAGGGGCATCAGGGCCCTGTTCTTCTACCCAGTTAAACCCATTTTCTTCAGGGAACTCACCAAGATGAGTATCTTTAACATCGTGACATCACTTCCAATAAGCAAACTGTCAATAAGATTGGGAGCTCTTGACTGTATTATTCAAATGTTTATCTATAACATCGTGACATCACTTCCAATGAGGAAACCGTCAAACAGATTGGGAGCTCTTGACTGTGTTTTCAACTAATTCAAATGTTTACTGCTGTTCTTTGTGAGAAATTATTTGAACCTTTTTTCACCCATCAACTTTAATATATTTAAGGAAGGGCCTACGAACTCCGTACTTCTACTCATGTTTGCTAACGTATTCGCTAAGTTTGGAATTTGGGTCAGAGAAACAAAAAAGTTCCGCGGAATTCTAATCAGTCCTGGCCTACAAAACATGAATGACCGGAAGTCTTCAACAAAAACCAAACACAGGCTTGCCCTGGTTCGAGAAATTTGTCTTATTTGATGGACTGCTTTTTGTCACTGAAGCGATTCATACGAACGTCAATTTCTCTGACGACTTTTCGGTGGGTCGCCCTTCCAGAGAATCCGCTTTCATATAAAGGAGAGTGCAGATCGCTTCAAGTCTGTGTTTGGAGGAACTTTCCCTAATTCCATTAACTCTTTCCTTTCCATCGGCTTGGGTTGCAGGAGCCCTTTTTCCACGAAAGCATGGTTAATGA